CATCGCGCTGCGCGTCACCTGCGCCCCGGCCCCGTGTCCCCGGCCCCCGATGGTCCCTGTGTCGGCTTGTCACCCCCGGCTCATAGGCACCATCCCTGCTTCTGCGGGGAGCAAGCTGGCAGTTGTCCCATGAGCCTGTCCCAGCTGCTATGCCACGCTCCCCTGTGCTCCTCTGGACAGCATGGAGCACCATGAAACATCGTGGAGCATCAGGGAGAACCCTGGAGCATCACAAAGCACCTTGGAGCACCATGAAGCATCCTGGAGCATCACAGAGCACCACAGAGAGCTACGGAGCACCACAGAGCAACATGGAGCATCATGGAGCAATGCAGACCACCATGGAGCACCAAGGAGCAACACAGAGCATCACGAAGCGCCATGGAGCATCATGAAGAATCACAGAGCACCACGGAGCAATGCAGACCACCATGGAGCACCAAGGAGCACCACAGAGCATCACGAAGCGCCATGGAGCATCATGAAGAATCACAGAGCACCACGGAGCACCACGGAGCAATGCTGACCACCATGGAGCAACGCAGAGCATCACAGAGTATCCCAGCACACCATGGAGTACCGTGAACATCATGGAGCAGCCGGGGGTGCGGGGTGACCTTCATGCCTGCAGAAGTTGCATCTTGCTCTACCAAGCACGGGCGGGACATGCTTGCGTTTGCCCAACGGGGCGGCAATTCCAGGCAAACCTTCATTTCCAGAGGGGGCCCGGGGCATCCGCCGGCCCTTCCCTCCGCGCACGGCCCCTGCCCGGCGCGGCGCCCGCGCTGCCATAAAAGCTCATTACGGGGAGATTATGAACATATAACAATGCGTTTTAAGTGCGCTGCAATGATCCATAAAATTGGTGTGGCTAATTAGCAGATCAAATCTCTGCGAGGACTGGATCACTCTAATATCCTTGGGTAGTTTAATTCTGTAGGTATTTTACTATCCACACATGTTTAGTAAAATTAAATAACAGTATAAACGTTCAGTGGGATTAAAACAACGGTAAAATGAAACCAAACAAAATGAGTTTATTTTGTTAATAGAATAACAGCGAATCCCAGTGTTGATATAACATTACACAAAATCTAGAGCAAACACGGCCCGAATCCCAGGCTCATTTCACATGTAATTAACCTTTCTCAATCAAGCCGTGCATCCCTGCCACCTCCTCTGTGATGCCCGCGTCCCCTTGTCCCAGCACCCACCATTCCCTGCATCCAGCAGGAGCAGCCGCGGTGCCATCCCAGGCTCTGGCTCCTTCCCAGCTGTGGAAGAACTGTCCTGTCCCACCCCATCCCATCCCATCCCATCCCATCCCATGCCATCCCATCCCATGCCATCCCATCCCATCCCATCCCATTCCCTCTTGTCTGTCTTGTCCCACCACATCCTGTCCTCTCCCATCCCATTTTGTCCTGTCCCATCCCATCTCTTCCTGTCCCATTCCACTCCATCCCATCCCAATCCATCCCATCCTGGCGTGTTCTGTCCCATTGTTTTTAAAACACTGTCCACTTTCCGGTTGCATATCCGACTGCTTTTGTAACACTAACATGGGAAGTAATGATCATAAACATCCATTTATTAAAGCAGGTTTTATTCCCATCTCCTCCCCACTAGCAGCCCTCTGTTTGTGCTGGTGTTTATCAAGAAACACCACGCGAAAGTTAATAATAACCTAATTTAGAGCAATAATTACATTTTTATTCAATAGCTATGGGAAAACACTGAGTTGAATAATGAGATAAAAACGAGTGTCTCAGTCCTAACAGGACATTAATCAACATATTAACTGTGCAGGCAAACTGATTTGAGGCTGTTATGGCTTAATTTGTCTCAAAATCATTATTTTTTACATATTGCACAACGCGCTTTAACGCACGCCTTGCAGTGACTGCGTAAGCACGGCCGGCCGCCCGGGAGAGGGGTCACCTTATCCCGCATCAGCCAGACCTTCCTCC